AAAGCAGAGACGTGAAGCACACCACAGAGGTCTCAGGGTGCCGTGTTGAGGATGTAAATTGTTGCTTTCCCAGGTAAGTTAATGACAACATAAAACATGGGGAGTGGGAGCATAGAAACAGCACAGAAGGGATAAATATTTTAAAAACAAGTCTCAGTTTATGTTGGGGGGCACTTCACCTTCGTGTTTCTGGCTCCCAACTGCAGCTGCACATCAGTACCTAACACACAACAGCGAGCAAACTCAATGGCCCTGAAATAATGCAGGTATATGAGCATAAAAAAACAGCCTTTGAACACAGGAGTCACCTCTCCACAGCTCCAACAACGTGTTCCAGTGCAGTTTTAGACAAAGAATCTGCCACTGCATCTTCCTCTCTTTCAGTGCTACAAATGCCCTCATTTATTTTGCACCCTCAAAAGTATCAAGCTCAAAACATGAACCTCAAATTGAGACTACATACTAAAAAATTCCTCCTCTACCTCTTTACTTCAAGGAAAAAAAATCTGGTTTTAGGATAGTCAGGGCTGATTAAAAAAAAACCCTGCAACAGACAAGAGTAAAAAATATATTACAGAATATAAGACACATTTTTAAACTATAGACTTTTCTGACCAAGGCACAGGGAAAAAAAGCCCTTCCTTCTAATACAGCCTTCAGGAGATCACATTACTCAAGTACTGTCTTTCCAAGACACACAAGAATGCTAGTTCCCTGCCTCTTGCTTCCTAAAACAATTTTCCTCCATGTCAGCTTTCAGAGAAATTAACATTTCTGCCCCATCTCCCAGTCTGTGCCTGCTGCGTGCTGGACTCTAAAAATTAAGGTTAATTTTCACAGCTGGAGTAATTTAATATAAGCCTCCACAACAGAGTCTGATGCTTCCCTGCTTGGCTCAGTCAGCACAAATCTCTCCCTAGGATTTTGTGAGGTTTCACCCTAAGCCTGACACAGCTGACAGAGTTTGGAAAGCCCCAGGCTCTCTCTATCCTGTCCAGCTTCTGTACTGAAAAGGGTGGCCTCTAAAACCCCTTTGTAGACCTGTAAACAAACAATCTCTTTCATAATTATTTGAATCATTTATTAAAAAAAAAAAAAAAAATCCAAACCACACACACTAAAAAAAAACCCAACAATTGCAGCCTGTGATAGGATATACAGCCTCACTCTTCCTCTGGTTGCATTAATTTTTATGTCCCAAGACAGCAAGCAATTTGGCTGATGTCTAGATCAAGGGCACAAAAGTTCTCAGTCTCTGCACTCTTAAAAGTCACATCTGATCAATCTCCCTTTATCTCTGTTTATTTTACAATCTGTGCTCTAGCTGTCTGCTCTGCTGGAGGACATCCCTCCCCAGAAAAGCCACCTAGCAGTCTGCAGAGCAGATGCATTAATATTCCAATGCTTTTCCAAGCTTTGTAAATTTGGGCAATTTCATCAAAAAATGTTTTGTGCAATCACCAGTACACCTTAGAAAGCAGTAGCACCAGAGGCCCTTGCTCAAGGCACACACTTAATGATTGTTTTTTTCCAATTGGAACTTTTCCTGTGAGACATGTCTTTAGTGTTGATCAGATTTGACTGTGTTAGATTAGCAAACAACAGTAATTTGTTCAGTAATCATCTCCTAAATTTCACCTTAGCTTGTGTCAACGTAGCACCATACATAATTCAGTGAGTCTTGGACAGCAGTCCTTACCATTTACACTATCAGATACTACGTTCTGTGAATAATATTCAAATTCACGGGAGGTTTTTGCCTCCTTTCCCTTTTTTCATCTCATACACAGAGGAGAAGGATGTGGGGAAGACTGAGATCCACAAGATAGTGATTACAAAGAGCAAGAGATGAAGGCCATTGTTTCCTAGCCCAGGAAAGGGACACAGCTCAAGTCAGGGATACAACTAGAGAAAATATTCATTCTGGTGGGAAAATAAGTGATTTCAAGAAGCATTTAATGTTATTGTATGACAGCTGTCTAAATTGGAATCTTGGTTATTTAGTGATGTTGGTTCAGAATTTATGCACAATTTTATGCTTTCCCCACATCAGCAAGCACTACATTACATTTCTGCCAAATGTAACAGTGAAGAAATCATAGCTGCATCCTACTAACCTTGAAGAATCAGATAATGGTTTTGAGTCCTTGAAAATCTGACCCTCAGCTCTGGGTGGTTCCACTCACTCAAGGACGTGTGCTGCTTTTTCATCTGGGGCTCCCGAGCTCTAACACAACCCCTGAAAAACATTCTCCACCTCCTGCTAAGCCCTAGGTGACAAGAGTTAGGGATTAAAATTTCTCATCCTCAAGTGGCACTGCAAGATAACGAGGACATCAGAAACAGGCATTGAAACAAAACAGCAAGTGACCCTGCAAGGCCCACAGCACACTCACGAGCACACAGCAAATATTTACTATACTGCTTTAATGAAGCCAACACGCAGCATAGAAAACCACCTAAATTATCTCATCTCTACAGAAATGGATGGGTTTTGGTCAAAACAGAGCATTGTAAAGCATCCAGCGCTGCTGCACACCAGCAGCAGGGATTGTCTGTGTCAGAAAGGCACTGGGGTCACAGGTTTCAGGCACAGCATCACTGTTTCTGCAGCGAGGCCACCTCACCTTGAGCGTTTTTACAATCTGGAGTGTCTTGCTAAGTGATGGCGTACCCTTTGCATCAGTCCATCGTTTGTATACACATGAAATCTGCCAGGAAAAGCAGAAATTTTAAGGTCCCACTGCAGTAGGAACACTCCCCACCACACGTCACCCTGTGCAGTAACTTTATATTAAATGTGTGGTTAAAATACCAGGCTAAAGCACCCCTGACATAAAAAATAAGGTTCATTTCTGCTCAAACAGCTGCAAACTCCTTTCACATCTATTGTGATCCATCCTACCACAGTGAGTACCATGTGCACTTCTGTAGGTGACAGGCAGAGGCACAGAAATTAAGAGAAAGAGGGGCCAAACCTAAACGCAGATGGGGGTTTGTTTTTCGGTTGCTGTTAGGTTTGTTTTTTGGGTTTTTTTTTCCTTCAAAATGGTGCTAGCAAACAAAATGTCACGCTCTGATTACCACTGTCAGCACACAGAACACCATCTACCCAGGACAGGTCTGCCTGCAAAATGCACACCCCTCCTGTTCCACCGCCTCTTTACTCCAGACTGAGAGCAGAGTGAATTTGTAGCAGTAGCAAAAATGCAAATAAGTTCATAAGCATTCATGCCCTGTGTTTGAAGATCCTAGGAATAACAGATGTGGGCACCACGTAGAAGGCAAAGAAAAGAAAAGCAGTATCAGCTTTTTGCCAGTCACTCAAACCAGCATTTCTCAAAAAAATCCCAAATGCATTTGTAACTTATTTTTAAATGTTTTTTTCCGCCTCATATACACACATGGATGTGTTAACCAGAGAAATTTATTTACATGGATGTACCTGTCATGTCAGTCACCCACCTGTGATATTTGTAAAACCATTTCCTCCAACCCTCCTCCTCCTGAGGAAAGGTAAAACACACAGAAGATAAAAACCAAGGCTTCCATATGCAATTGTCAGTTTTGTGGTAATCCTTCCTGCATCTGGGAACAGCCTAGAAGTTAAACCTTTTTTACCTTTCATTACAGACACAAATTCTTTGGTTTGCTCTACTCCACTGAGCAGTATGAAAACCTTTCACCACTAAGGTATTTCTCAACACCAGGAAACACAGCCACGACCATGAGCACTGCTCTTAAGGGACCTAACAGCAAAAAAACAGTATTCATCCTAAGCTTTTATTTAAATATCTGAATATTGCTATGCAGATCAATGCAGGTGTTTGAATTTATTATTTATTTTCTGATTTTCACCAGAAAGATGTCCCTACCCAGCCCACTCCTGCAGACAACACCAACCAAGCTGTCCCAGCTCCTCAGAGCTGCTTTTCCATGCCAAGATATTAATCAGGAGGGGAAAAAAGTGCAAGGGAAACTGGAACAACACCATCTGAAAGCTGATATTCCAGTCAATATCCCATGCCTATCACAGCTGTATCCCAGAAGACACTTCCAGGCCAGGTGCACCAATATTTTCAATTATGCCACCAAGGGTCCCATAAAGTATTTAAATGGCATTTTTCCCACCACAGCAAATTGTCCACCTGAAATCATTTCAATACAGCACACCATCAGTAAAAGCTCCCTTTTGCGTTGGAAACCTCACTTGGAAATTAAATGTTTAGGGTAAACAAAGAGCAATTTTTGCAAAAATCTGCAATGGGTTTCAGGTGGGAGCTCGCCAGAAACTATCAAAGTAGAAAAAATGTGATAAATCTATCACAAAAGGGCATGTTTGCAAACAAAACTACACTAGAGGAAGCTAGATGGCCACCTGAAAGCAGGCTTGGCTATGGTGTGAACAAGGACTGACAGCTGGAGTCCCCCTGGACCTTACAGAATATTTTCAATTTGAGTTTCTAATTGACATTGAGCATCCAGAAGTGAGTCCACGAAGGCAAAACAACCAGTTTTTGCTCTCTATTTCCGACAAGCACAAAAAAAGGTTCAAAAGTATCACTGCCTTTAAAGTCTTCAGTCATGTTGGCCATCAGAGGCTGTACTCAATGATTATACTAACAACTTATTTCTGTTAACAAACATGCTTCAATGTAACATCATTCAAACACTTCAAATTAAAGTTATCCACGGTAATGAGGCTATTTTTAGAATTGTCTTTATGCACTTAATGATTTTTTTTTAAATCCAAAACCTTTACACCTGATGGAAAGAAACCAATCCAGTGAATTTAATTCAGTGACAGGAATAAGATGTATGAACACGTTGTGAGAAAATGAGCACACAGCAAGATGCTGACTACCTGTTAGATGGATAAATCTGCAATTGAAAGAACCTTTATAGTCACTAAACAATCTAGAGAAAAATCAGAACAAATCCAGAATCAACACAGCACCTGAAGTCCACAGGACAGAAAAAAGTCACACGAGAGAAGCCACCTCAAACTCTAAACCTGCTCATGCTGGTAACATCCCAGGTAAATTTTGGTGATTACGAATCTGAAACAACAATTTCACAGAGATGTGTCAATTTACAGCGACCAAATCTACTACTGCTAAGGAAGCTGCTCTGTAGAAGGCACAAACAGCATTTTAAGTGGGCTGTGTAGGTCTCACTCAGCTCAAAGTCCTGCGCTTCAGTAAATCACTGCCTCAATTCCATGGAATAAATGCATTTTATACATGTACATCACCCCCCGGCCTCCCACAGCAGCTGCACAAGGCATGTCAAATGTTACCTCAAAATGTCATTTTAGAGAGGAAAAAAGAAAAAAAATCTGTTTACCCTCACCAAAGGAAAAAGGAAAAACTACCCCACACTCAGCAGACCAGCACGAATTTGGTGCTGAAACAGGGAGAATGACACAGATCCCAAAACCAACCCATCACCTTGGGAAGGTAGGTGCTTATAAAACCACATTTATAAGGAAGAATCCTCATAACACTTCAGGCATTTGCTATGACAGCAACACTCAGGCACCTAAACACAAAGTCATCACTGTGAAATTCTTCTACACTGGTGATGTCTTCTTTTTACTGAGCTCTCACAGCATCAAAGGTTACTCCGTAAGAAACAAACACACAAACAAAACAAAACAACAACAATAAAAACACAAAAAAACCCCAAAAAAAAACCCAAAAAAATCTCATGGAGGGAAAAAACATTGGAAATTCTCGGGCAGGTGCAGCTACAGAAAATATGATGCAAAGCTCCAAGAGAAATAAACATTGGACAGAGCCAAAATACAACAGACCAGGGGAAGACAGTCTGGGTTCTCCCTATACAACAACAGAATTAACAGTAAGAGAGCCCCTAAGTAAATAACAGCCTCATTAAGGCATTCTTTATGTTATTAAAGCGTTCTTTATTAAGACTTCAGTAGCCAGTGGCTCACGCCTGAAGGGACGCGAGACAACAGCGCTGGGAGCCGAATAACAATGAAAAACCGGAAAAAACCCACCAAAAAACACACCAAAAGAACCAATTATTGCCTCATTAAGGCATTCTTTATGTTATTAAAGCGTTCTTTATTAAGACTTCAGTAGCCAGTGGCTCACGCCTGAAGGGACGCGAGACAACAGCGCTGGGAGCCGAATAACAATGAAAAATCCAAAAAAAACCACCAAAAAAACACACCAAAAGAACCAATTGTTTCGGGGTTTCTTGTATGTTTTTGTTTGTGGGGGCTTTTCTCGTTTTTGTTGTTGTTGGTTTGCTTTTTTGGTTTTTTGGGTTTTTTTTTTTTTGCGTCTCACAAAAGACACGCGGCCCCCATGGCCCGGTGAGGGGTCAGTGAGGGGCTGATCCCTGTTATCCCGGTGATCCCGGCTGTCCCCACACGGGGACGTGATCAGGGCTCCCCCCGCTCCCCTCAGTGCCGGTGAAGCGTCAGTAAAGGATTGAGCCCCGTTATGCCGGCTATCCCGGATGTCCCACACCGGGACACGGTCGGGGCTCCCCTCGCTCCTCTCAGTGCCGGTGGGGGGTCAGTGCAGGGCTGATCCCGGTTATCCCGGTTATCCCCACACCGGGACAGCCCCTCCCCCCGCGCTCCCCTCAGTCCCGCCCGAGCCGCCGCGCGCGGGGCGGGCCGCCCGACCTACCTCCCGCGCCGCCACTTCCGCCTGCGCCCCGCCAGCCAATCAACGCCGCGTCCGCCCCTCCGTCCCGCCCCGCGCCGCCCGCGCCGACCAATCGCGGCGCCCCGCGGCGCCGCCAGCCAATGGCGGCCGTGCCCGCGCCCCGGCGCGCTGAGGGCGCGCGGTGCGCGCTTCCGCCCGTGGCGGCGGCCGGAAGGTGATGTGGCGGAGCGCGGCGCGATGGTAAGCGCGGGGCCCGCCCGGCCCTGCCGCTCCGGCACCGGGCCCTCCCCGCTCCCTTGCCTCCCCGCGGCCCCTCACGGTGCACAGCGGCGCCTCCCGGCCCGGGCGGCGCCCACAGAGGTCGCTGACGCCATAAGCCGCAACCCGCGGGAGCGGAGCCGCCTCAAGGCTTTGGCGGGAGTAGCGCGGGGCGGGTTTGTATCAGGGGTTTGGTGACAGGAAAAATACCCGGTTTGTGTCCGTGCGGCGCATCAGCAGCCGGTGCGAGGTCGGTCAGGTGCTGTGCGCGTCTCTCCCGGCTTCCTGACGTCATTCCTGTGCTGCGTGACGTCATGGCGGTGTTAGGTGACGTCATGCTCGCAGCACTGTGCTGAGCTGCGTCATTGGCAGTTCTTCAGGGGTGTCATCAGAGGCTCAGGTCCTTTTACTCGTGAAACTGGATTATATCTAAAACTACTTATTATACATACATACATATATATATATATGTGTATATATATATCTGTATATATGTGTGTGTATATATATAATTTTATAAATATATAATTATGTATAACATATATAATATGTATATACAGTATATATAAAGCATTTTTATAAATGGATATATATGTATAAAAATTATATATGTGTATACAGGTGTATATTACCTTTTCCCTGTATTTTTAAAAGTCCATGTATTCACAACGCATGTAAATCTTAAGATTATAGAAGTATATATAATACAACTTACCATATAAATACGTATTTTTAAGTGTTTTTATAGTTTTGTAAATGCCTAAACAACAGGTAAGTACATCTGGAGTAGAATATCTGTGCTTAAATACAAGTTTATTATGTGTACAACAAATACATGCAGATACAAATATGTATATTTATGGATTATACAAATATATATAATTATATATATAGGATAATTTTTATTAAATTAAATTTATTAAATTATTAAAATATTAATAATATCAATATTAATAATATTTTAGTAATTATGTGTTATATATTACCAATATATCTTTTTCTATAAACACATAAAGAGTGTGGTTAGAGATATAGATATATATATAGATATATATATATATCTGTGTGTGTATATATATATATATAGGTATATATGTATAATATATGTGTATAAATATCTATATTCCTTATGTAGTGTTGCTCTAGAGGCAAACTGGTATTTATTCTTTTTGTTTCCACCCCATTTTTCCAGTCTCTGTGCAGGTAATACAAAATAAGGGTTTGCATTTCTCTCATTCTTAAAGCTGAGCAGTGAAATACTTTTCCTTAGTCGAAGTTTATACATTAAATGTTTATTTATCAACAACGTTTATATGAGCAGAGCAGATACATGGATTTAAAATTAAAAGGAAAACCAAAGGAACAACTGAATTAGTGTAAGTTTTTCCTACAAAGTACATGTTTGTCCATAACTTCAGCATAGTGTTTGTTTTAAGATGGACATTCTTAGATTTTTCTAATAATTTGGGTTGAAAGGGACCTTTAAAGATCACCTGGTCCCCCCTCCCATGAGCACGGACATTATCCATCATTGCAGAGTTGCTGTGCAGTTTAATGGAATATTGCTGTATTTCCTGTGTATTTACAGAAAAGATCAATATCTCGTGAAGTTTCTTTCAAAAAAGGGTTCCCAGACTCCAGATCTTGCCACCAGCAGGAAATTGCTGGGAGTTGCTCACCTGAGCATTCCTTGGCAGATCTTTCAGGTGAACCTGCTCCAGTCTGGGGCTCCAAGCAGAAAACAAAGGATATTTTTTATGAAGAGATGCATAAATTATCTCAGGAGATCTAAAACACACGTGCAGAAAGTAAAAGCCCTCTAATCAGTGCCGTGGAAAGGGGAATATACAGAATTACAGCAGCACCTCGGTCTTTTTCGTTGTACTTAAAAGGGTTTGAGGTGATAGAAAAAGGCAAGAGACCTCAGTGGGATATTGGTGTTGCTCAGTGTAATGATTCAATACAAGTAATCATTTAATATTATATCACTATATCATTTACATTTTATGTATTTTTTAGTGATATGCAAGAAATATATAAGAGTAACTTAAAAACAAAGGTAATATTTAAATCTGAGAAGGTTGTGGCAAGTGTGTGAGATTCTGTTGGGATCACCTTCTCCACTTGTCCCTCTTCCTTACTCTGTGTGCCTCAAGGACCCTGAAGCAAGAAACTCTTGTAAAGATGGTTTGCTTATGATTTAATGTTGAAAATAAGGTGAAAATAAGTATCCTCAGCCTTACTGTGATGTTTGAATTTCTTCAAGAGAGCAGCGGCCCTTCAGGACTTTGGATCCTCCATGATGCCACCTCTGGTGTCAAGGCATTTTAGGGGAAAAAAAAAGGATAATTTTTGAGCTCACATTTGACTGTGAGAGAGGAAAGAGCTGCTGTCTGTGTGTCATGAAGTGATTAGAGCTACATCTCAAATTTATTCTCCTTGTCCAAAGAGTAGGACTTGCAGTTCTGCCTAGCTAGCAGCACTCTGAATATTCTATATTGTATAATATTCTGAAGCATGATTTCCAAAGGACTTTATCCCTTGGAAACCTTTTATCCCATTGTTTTCCAGGCTTCCTTACCAGTCTTCCTGGCTAAGCAGATGAGAACTTCTGCTGGGTGAATGGCCAGCTGCTGCCAAACAGAAAAGAAATATATATATATATGTGTGTGTGTGTGTGTGTGTGTAAGCTGACTTTTACCTCTCTTATCTTATATGTGAAAGCAGAGATTGTGGGATTTTTTTTTTCCTCTTCACTGCTAGTGGATAGGGAAAAAATTCACCATTTTGACTTAGAGCAAAACCCTCCCTCTTTTAACTTAAAGCAGCTGTGGAAGACAGTAGAAGCTTCTCAGTGGATTCCAAACTTGCTGGGAATGGAAGGATGCACCAGGATGCACAGCTCCCTCACTTATTTAGGAGCAGAATGTATATTGTTTGCTGACTTCCACAAATCAGTTTGTCCTGCCAGCTTTTGGGATTTTACATCTAAAAGCTCAACAGAAGTTTCCTGATGGGCTTGAAAAGTTTGCATGGGCATGGGTGGAAAAAGGGAAGAGGGCAAAGGTAACATTAAAATTAATGAGGAGCTTCTCAGCTTCTGAAGGGTGGTCTTCACTTTCCTTCCTAGCAAAAATATGAAGTTACACTCAAGCAGAATTTGGTGATGGAGATAATTTAAAAGAAGTGCAGAAAACTTGACAAAAACATCTTCTTCCCTGTCACCCTCTGGTTGGGCCTGATCCTGGCCCCAGATTACTACACAAAAAGTGATT